TTAAAAATGAGGTCGTGTACAACTTTGACTAGTATTGAAAGATGATGGGTTGGCTTCAGATGTAAATACAAGCTTATAGACCTGTCAAATATGGACGGGTAACCAGCAAGCACACGTCCTGCTGTCCAATCTCACGTAGACAGGAACAGATGAAAAACTCAAGCTTTCAAAAACTTTTGTAAAGAGAGAATTTCGAAACAAGAGAAGTTGTACAGCAGCCAAGAGAAGATTGCTCAACACTCACCATCTCCCTGCGTTCCTTGACCACGTCAGCAATCTTCTCCTCCTCCACAGGCGCCTTCACGTACTTCACCTTCTGTAGTGGGAAAGTGGAACATGTTTACGCACCAATCGTGTTGGCCTTTCATCGAAAAGCATTTTCATCAGCATATAACACAAGGGAATTTGTTTAGAAATGTTTAAAATCCGCATTGTTCAATTTAGATAAACTGTAAAATAGAGAGAAAGGGAATTTATCATGTGACTCTTTTATAAATGCAAATAGTCTAATTTCAATATAGTATAAAACACTTGTTTCATTCGCCATCAATAATTTATAGTTATACAATTGGGAACAGACCGACACTATGAGAAAAACAAGGTTAATAATTCTTGCTATAAATATTAATACTTTTTGTATGTTTGGATGCCAGTGTTTCGATATGCATATGTGTACTCATCTTGTTGTGCTCGGCTATTGTTTGGTTTGTGAAGTTGAGCTTCAGCTCTCAGGTTCAGCTTCTCAACCTTCCATGGACTTGTGTTCAAGTTTCAGAGCCTATGTGTATACATTTTATATGTAAAGTCATGTATGGAGGCGGCCTACACTATTTTTCTTCTTAGTTCATGCCATTTATTCACTAAAAAATTATCAAATTATTTGTAATGTCTTTGTGGTTCATAAGGGTACAAAGTTTATATATACCTGTCTCCTCATTTCCTGTACGACTCATGGCATAGAGTCTCCCTCTGTTTGACCTAATTATTTCCATGAGAATTATGTATGTGGTGATCATGTCTCCTCTAATTCTGATTCTTTCTAATGACGTCAGGGTTAATTATTTTAGTATAATAGTGTATATTTAACTCATTCCTCTCAGTTCTGATACAATATCTTGAGGTTATCTTAAGATGATTTCGGGGCTTTTTAGTGTCCCCGCGGCCCGGTCCTCGACCAGGCCTCCACCCCCAGGAAGCAGCCCGTGACAGCTGACTAACTCCCAGGTACCTATTTACTGCTAGGTAACAGGGGCATTCAGGGTGAAAGAAACTTTGCCTATACAACATCAAGCATCCATCCTCAGCAGCAATCTTAAGTCTCCTCATACCAACCCATCAATTAGCCATACCCATCCCCTCCCATATTCCTCCACCCATCAACCACCCATACCCATCCCTCCCCACATTTCCCCAGATGATGTATCTGGGGAAATATGGGGAGAAATCTCCAAATCTCCACCCCATGCACCTCCTCCCTCTCTCATCTTCCAAGTACCCCTCCTCCCACTCCACCACCGCCCCTCTATCCCCTCCAGTACCATTCCACCCTCCACTTCTCAACTCTCTCCACCCTCCACTTTTCCTTCCCTCACACTGCCTATTCATACACGTGAACCCAGTGCCTGGCCCCGAGACCAGCAGCTGCCCAGACAGACGACAACAAAATGCTGGCACTCCGATGGTAATGGACTATTAAATCAGATGAATTCATAGAAAATGACAAGGGGACACAAACATGATGCAATAACAATTGTAAGAGACAAAAAAATGGTCACTAATGCAAAATTGCCCAGAGGATTTCAGCTAATGTGAAGGTACACACACACACACACACACACACACACACACACACACACACACACACCACACACACACACACACACACCACAGAAGTTCAGATACCTGTACACCAGTAGACTGACAGTTGAGAGACTGGACCAAAGTGCCGAACTTCAACCCCTGCAAGCACAACTAGGTGCCACACACACACACACAGTCTATGTCTATTTCTGTCTCCACCCCCACCCCCCACCCCCCTTGCCCTAGTATCGTATCTGCATCCTTCTATTAATGTTAATTTTCCTATTCCTTATTTCACCAGCTAGAATTCCCACCATTAACGACTTATGCCAGAGTCAAACCACCACCCTCAAGTACGATACAAAAAGCTAATTCCACATCTCTGACTAACGCAATCATAGCTTCTATCAACGATAAGCGACATTAGCCATACCCAGTGGGTTAATAACGAGACGCCATATATAGAAAACGCAATTAAGAGGGTAACTGCACCACAGAGGTACTGCTCCCTTTTAGCGGCAAGAACGGTAGCCAGCTGATAAAGGCGGTGGTTTGGTGTGAAATTCGGAGATTCACAACGTTACTGACAATAGGACACGGCCGAACGTGGCAGCAGTAGCCGAACTTGGGATAAATGATGGCGAATGGCCGAACTTGGGAACAACGGAGAATGGAGCCAGTGAACTTAGATGTAGACCGTCGGGCTATGGTTACATGACAAAGTTAGGGAAGAGGAGGGGAAGGGGAGTAGGAAGAGGGGAGGTGAGTAAAGCTAGAGGAAAGGAAGAGGGTCCGAGAAAGCAAAGGGACAGAAGGCAGGAAGAAATTTATAAAGAAGAAAAAGGGGAGTAGGAAAGGAAAAGACAATAAGAAAGTAGAGAAATGGAAGGATTACAAAAAATGGTCAGAAACTTGTACTTTAGTAATAGTTGTGTTCTTTACACACCTTCCACACCTGACTCACACTCGCCTTCCACATCTGACCCGACACACTCGCCTTCCACATCTGACCCGACACACTCGCCATCCACACCTGACCCTACACACACGCCATCCCACCTGACCCCACACCCTCGCCATCCACACCTGACCCCACACCCTCGCCATCCACACCTGACCTCACACACTCGCCTTCCACATCTGACCCGACACACTCGCCTTCCACACCTGACCCCACACACCCGCCATCCACACCTGACCCCACACCCTCGCCATCCCACCTGACCCCACACCCTCGCCATCCACACCTGACCCCACACCCTCGCCATCCACACCTGACCCTACACCCTCGCCATCCACACCTGACCCAACACACTCGCCATCCACACCTGATCCCACACCCTCGCCATCCACACCTGACCCAACACACACTCGCCATCCACACCTGACCCAACACACACTCGCCATCCACACCTGATCCCACACACTCGCCATCCACACCTGACCCCACACACCCGCCATCCACACCTGACCCACACCCTCGCCATCCCACCTGACCCCACACCCTCGCCATCCACACCTGACCCCACACCCTCGCCATCCACACCTGATCCCACACACTCGCCATCCACACCTGACCCGACACACCCGCCATCCACACCTGACCCCACACCCTCGCCATCCCACCTGACCCCACACCCTCGCCATCCACACCTGACCCCACACCCTCGCCATCCACACCTGACCCCACACACTCGCCATCCACACCTGACCCAACACACTCGCCATCCACACCTGACCCAACACACTCGCCATCCCACCTGACCTACACCCTCGCCATCCACACCTGACCCCACACCCTCGCCATCCACACCTGATCCCACACACTCGCCATCCACACCTGACCCAACACACTCGCCATCCACACCTGACCCAACACCCTCGCCATCCACACCTGACCCCACACCCTCGCCATCCACACCTGATCCCACACACTCGCCATCCACACCTGACCCAACACACACTCGCCATCCACACCTGACCCAACACACACTCGCCATCCACACCTGACCCAACACCCTCGCCATCCACACCTGACCCAACACACACTCGCCATCCACACCTGACCCCACACACTCGCCATCCACACCTGACCCCACACACTCGCCATCCACACCTGACCCCACACACTCGCCATCCACACCTGACCCCACACACTCGCCATCCACACCTGACCCCACACACTCGCCATCCACACCTGACCCCACACACCCGCCATCCACACCTGACCCCACACCCTCGCCATCCATACCTGACCCCACACACTCGCCATCCACACCTGATCCCACATCCTCGCCATCCACACCTGACCCCACACCCTCGCCATCCACACCTGACCCCACACACTCGCCATCCACACTTGACCCCACATACTCACCATCCACACCTAACCCTACACGCTCGCCATCCACACCTGACCCCACACACTCGCCATCCACACCTGACCCCACACACCCGCCATCCACACCTGACCCCACACCCTCGCCATCCACACCTGACCCCACACACTCGCCTTCCACACCTGACCCCACACACTCGCCATCCACACCTGACCCCACACACTCGCCATCCACACCTGACCCCACACACTCGCCTGCCTGTTCACCCGAGGAGCTACTGGGAAAGACAGAGCGAACAGGAGAAAGGAGACATGATCATCACATACAAGATTCCAAGAGGCGTCAACTAACACTGGAAAAACCAATGCTCAAGATGGGAACGTTGTTGGAAACAAGTTACATAGCTGTCAGAAAAGTAATTCTTTTCACTGTTACAACTTGAAATGGAAAGACAAGATACATAAAAGTGTATCTATTCCTTTAACTGTCTAGATGGAAGGATGGGGCTTGGGAGCTATTGCTCGACCCTTATAGCACTTATCGGGGTACATTAAGACCGAGGCTAGGAGGAGGGGTGTAAAGGGCTAGATCTTATCGCCCCGTAAGGCAGTCAATGTTAGGGTAAGTACTGATAGGTAGTTACATCCAGGCAAGGACCTCTATGTAAGCACATCTTTCTGTGTACACATACGCTCTACTAATGGTAATATAGGATAGCTTACATAGGTAAGCACGTGCACACACACACACACACACACACTTATGCGTGCACACACACACACACACACACACACACACACACGTGTGTGTGTGTGTGATTAGACATTAGAAAGAACTTTTTTTTCAAGAGTAGTTAATAAATGGAATGCACTAGAAAGTGATGTGGTGGAGGCTGACTCCATGCACAGTTTCAAATGTAGATATGATAAAGCCTAGTATGCTCTGGAATCTGTACACCTGTTGATTGACGGTTGAGAGGCGGGACCAAAGAGCCAGAGCTCAACCCCCGCAAGCACAACTAGGTGAGTACGTAACCCAATTGACAAAGAGGTATTCCTGAAACCAGCAACATCGAGAAGAAGAGTTTTCTTTTGCAAACAGACTGGTAGACGGTTGGAACACGTGAAGAGAGAAGGTGGTGGAGGCCAAAACCGTCAGTACTTTCAAAGCGTTATACGAGAAAGAGTACTGGGAAGACGAGACACCACGAGCGTAGCTCTCATCCTGAAACGACACTTAGGTAATTGCACTATTAATGATTTGAGAGGAAAGCTCAAATAATTAAGCACATTTAAGTCCGTACGCCTGTGTGCGTACATCTAAGGGTATCTGGTGTCATCTCTGACACCTGGTGTCATCTCTGACACCTGGTGTCATCTCTGACACCTGGTGTCATCTCTGACACCTGGTGTCATCTCTGGTGTCATCTCTGGTGCCTGGTGTCATCTCTTGTTGACACCAGAGACCAAGAGCCGCACCCTAACTCACACTTCCATGCCAAAAATAAATCAGCAAAATATGTCATTTGATTTTACAAATATATATCTAGTCAGTGAAGCATAAATATTTAATTCAAGTACCCATTAATAATAAGCGCGAGAGAGCAGGTGTGTTTACTATTTGTGTCTGCTGGATCGAGCTACTAGCTCTTGGACCCCGCCTATCTAGCCAATCTATTTTACCTCTATTATATCTACTATATATATTTATCTCTAACACACATATACACACACACACACACACACACACACACACACACACACACACACACACACACACACACACACACACACACACACACACACACACAAATATCCAGGAAGCAGCCCGTAGCAGCTGTCCTTGGTACCTGTTTACTGCTAGGTGAACAGGTACATCAGGATGAAAGAAACTCTGGCCATTTGCTTCCGCCTCCGCCGGAGATCCAACCCGGGCTCTTAGGACAACATATCCCGAGCGCTGGCTACTCAGCCATCGAGGCCCCCAGATATATATATATATATATATATATATATATATATATATATATATATATATATATATATATATATATATATATATATATTTATATATTATACATATATAAAATAATAACAAATCCATTGGAATCCTTATAGCACTAAACGAAAATACCGAAGTCGTTGATGTATCTCGATTCTGGCAACGATTTTTCAATTGTGAGGTAAGAAAGAGGAAAAGGAATCCCAATAAAGTGTGTGTGTGTGTGTGTGTGTGTGTGTACTCACCTAATTGTACTCGCCTAATTGTGCTTGCGGGGGTTGAGCTTTGGCTCTTTGGTCCCGCCTCTCAACCGTCAATCAACTGGTGTACAGATTCCTGAGCCTATTGGGCTCTATCATATCTACATTTGAAACTGTGTATGGAGTCAGCCTCCACCACATCACTGCCTAATGCATTCCATTTATTAACTACTCTGACACTGAAAAAATTCTTTCTAACGTCTCTGTGGCTCATCTGGGTACTAAGTTTCCACCTGTGTCCCCTTGTTCGTGTCCCACCCGTGCTGAAGAGTTTGTCTTTGTCCACCCTGTCAATTCCCCTGAGAATTTTGTAGGTGGTTATCATGTCTCCCTTTACTCTTCTGTTTTCCAGGGACGTGAGGCTCCATTAGCCTTTCCTCGTAGCTCATTCCTCTCTTTTCCGGGACGAGCCTAGTGGCATACCGCTGAATCTTCTCTAACTTTGTCTTGTGTTTAACTAGGTATGGACTCCAGGCTGGAGCTGCATACTCCAGGATTGGTCTTACATAAGTGGTATACAGGGTTCTGAAAGATTCCTTACACAAGTTTCTGAAGGCAGTTCTTATGTTGGCCAGTCTAGCATATGCCGCTGATGATATTCTTTTGATGTGGGCCTCTGGAGACAGGTTCGGTGTGATATCAACCCCCAGATCCTTCTCTCTATTTGATTCTTGCAGGATTTCCCTTCCCAGATGATACCTTGTGTTCAGCCTCCTGCTCCCTTCGCCTAATTTCATCACCTTACACTTTCCAGAGTTGAACTTCAGCAGCCATTTTCTAGACCATTCCTCCAGTTTATCCAGGTCATCCTGTAGTCTCTGTCTATCTTCATCCGTCTTGATTCTTCTCATAATTTTTGCATCATCAGCAAACATCGAGAGGAATGAGTCTATACCCTCTGGAAGATCGTTCACATATATTAGAAACAGGATGGGTCCAAGTACTGAGCCCTGTGGGACTCCGCTGTGACATCTCGCCACTCTGATGTCTCCCCCCTCACCGTTACTCGCTGTTTCCTGTTGCTTAAGTACTCGTGTTGTGTGTGTGTGTGTGTGTGTGTGTGTGTGTGTGTGTGTGTGTGTGTGTGTGTGTGTGTGTGTGTGTGTGTGTGTGTGTGTGTGTGTGTGTCATTTTATTTTAGAAGCAGCAAGAAAGCACACGAAATGCAAAGAATTGAACTGTCATTAACAGCTGAGAGAGTTTAGTTAGTTGAATAATTTACTGTCCTCCCTATACCCGTCCCGTGGGCAGTGGTGAGACGGGTTACAGTGGAACATAATGGATTCGGTGACTGAACCTCTCAGTCCATTGAGGTAAACAAGTAACAGTCTTGTGAAGCTAGTTACATAATTTTTAACACACACACACACATATACGTAATGTACATATCATATACGTAAATGATCGTCCAGAGGGTATAGACTCATTCCTCTCAATGTTTGCTGACGATGCCAAAATTATGAGAGGGATTAAGACAGGAGGACAGCTTGAGGCTTCAAGAAGATCTAGACAAGCTGAAAGAATGGTCAAATAAATGGTTGTTAGAGTTTAACCCAAGCAAATGTAATGTAATGAAAATAGGTGTAGGTAGCAGGAGGCCAGATAAAAAGTATCATTTGAGAGATGAAATACTTCAAGAGTCAAAGAGAGAGAAAGACCTGGGGGTTGATATCACGCCAGACCTGTCCCCTGAAGCCCATATCAAGAGGATAACATCTGCGGCATATGCCAGGCTGGCCAACATAAGAACGGCCTTTAGAAACTTGTGTAAGGAATCTTTCAGAACATTATATACCACATATGTCTGACCAATCCTGGAGTATGCGGCTCCAGCATGGAGTCCATATCTAGTCAAACATAAGACTAAACTGGAAAAGGTTCAAAGGTTTGCCACCAGACTAGCACCCGAACTGAGGGGCATGAGCTACGAGGAGAGACTACGGGAATTAAACCTCACGTCGCTGGAGGAGAGAAGAGTTAGAGGGGACATGATCACCACATACAAGATTCTCAAAGGAATTAATAGGGTAAATAATGACAGACTATTTAAATCAAGGGGCACTCGCACTAGGGGACACAAGTGGAAATCGAGTGCCCAAATGAGCCATAGAGACATTAAAAATTTTTTATGTGTCCACGTAGTTGACAAATGGAATGCACATAAATGGACCCCATTCGATTCGAAGAGTAATGTTATAGCAGCTAAAAATTAATTATGAAAATGGCATAAAGAAGAGGCAGCGCCAGGAATAAGACGGAAAAAAAGATGATGCTGACCACAAACAACATTGTAAAATCCAAATATTCATTGTGTAAAATAGCCCGCCAATTTACATTTACGTAAACCGTGCTGCACTTGCATTAAAAAAAAATGCAAAACCATTCTCAAGCGGTAGAATTTAATGGTAGATAAAAATGCCAGGCACCATTAATTCTCCAGCGGGGCCATCCTCAGCCGAGCGCTGCTCTCATAGTGCCGCTTCGATATATAGAACGGATTTTGCCAACTCGCTTATTGTATGTGCTGTAATAGATGGGAGTCAGTCCGCGTTACTGTGGGCTCGCCTAAATGTGCTTGCATGCTCGAAACTGAACTCCCTAGCCCCATATTTCCATTATCTGCTTTGTTAATGGAATTGTTTATAACCCCTTGTAACCTGTCGTATTCTCTTTCGGGTATCTGGTGCTTCGTGACTTTCAATTTCGTATGAATAAGGCTTAATTGAGCGTTATTAAGATTAATTATTAATTTGGGCCCCAGAGGTCTTGTTAATTTAAGCCCCAGATGCTTTAAACCCAACCATACTATTCTGAAATTATTTGAGATTAACTAAACGACAAGTCTACTGGATCCAAAGGAAAAAACTTATTCACCGATGACAGGAACGTAAATGCCAGGAAGATAAACTCCAACAAGACTAATTTGGACCAAAAACAGACTAACTAGACGATGAAGACTATAATTCCGGTGAGAGAGTAATTGGAACCCCTGGGAATGTAACCTGAGCAGGATCATTCCTCGGAGCCTCAGCACCATCAGCCTTTATCAGCACAACATTATTTATTTGAGGAACAGATGTGAGAGAGATGTCGAGCGTAGGATGATACTTTCATCTCTCTCTCTCTCACTATATCTTGCTTCATCCTCTCTCTCTCTCTCTCTCTCTCTCTCTCTCTCTCTCTCTCTCTCTCTCTCTCTCTCTCTCTCTCTCTCTCTCTCTCTCTCTCTCTCTCTCTCACTATATCTTGCTTCATCGTCTCTCTCTCTCTCTCTCTCTCTCTCTCTCTCTCTCTCTCTCTCTCTCTCTCTCTCTCTCTCTCTCTCTCTCTCTCTCTCTCTCTCTCTCTCTCTCTCTCTCTCTCTCTCTCTCTCTCTCTCTCTCTCTCCACGTCGCTCTACCAACCTAAACCAAACCACTTTCCCAGCCAACAAACCCAACTCCACCTCCATCCACATTGACCACCCTCAACACTGTACTTTCTCGACCTAGAACAACGCTCTTGACTTGTAGCCTGTCCCACAAGGGCTACACACGATAACACCAGTTAACTTAATACCAGGGGGAACGTCGACAAGCCGCCGGCTTCTTATCTTCGTCGAGGCCAGTAGTGTTAGTGGCGCTCAAGTAAATTTAGATAAATCTGACGGAAATCTGTATTTGTCGCCACAGTGGCGATGATAAGTGCAAAATCTGCATTAACCATTCCTGATAGGACCGAAAGCACTGTCGTTTATTTCAATCAGCGACATTTCTGCTTTATTAGGAAATAATTCCGTAGCTACACGCCATGCGTTGCCACATGTGAGGCTTGAGACAGCTATAAACAATGATATGTGTTCTAGCAAAACTTTCACCAAATTTATTTTTGTCCAGCTCATCGCCCAAGTGTTCCAAGATGCTCTTAGCGTTGTCTAAACTTGACTCTTTAGTTATCGGGGCATCTTACGCTCTCACTAACTTATCGTGATGCTTCCTCATCCCATGCTGCGTGGGCGGACACATGATGCTTCCTCACCCCATGCTGCGTGGTTGGACACATGAGGCTCCATCACCCCATGCTGCGTGGTCGGACACATGATGCTCCATCATCCCATGCTGTGTGGGCGGACACATGATGCTTCCTCACCCCATGCTGCGTGGTTGGACACATGATGCTTCCTCACCTCATGCTGCGTGGGAGGACACTAAACACTGTCGAAGACATTTTTGCACACATTTCGATTCGCTCTTTCCATTAATGTATTCCCTGGTCCGGTGTTTTAACCCAACACTTCTGCTATCCAAATGCTCTTTTTATGCTCCATACGGTCCATTAAATCCAGACTGATAAGGACTTCCTTGACTGGAACACCAAAACTTTCTCACAATTATTAAATTGTCTAACTTTAAATTTTCGGTTATGTTTACAACTCTACTGCTGCCTATTCTCTAGCTCTTCCTGCCTATTTGTAAAGTTATGCACGTAGTTAACTAGACTTTCCATCTCTGCTTCTAACTAGGGCCTCCTTCAGTATACTGGCTGTGTTCCTCCTTCAGTATACTGGCTGGGTTCCTCCTTCAGTATACTGGCTGTGTTCCTCCTTCAGTATACTGGCTGTGTTCCTCCTTCAGTATACTGGCTGTGTTCCTCCTTCAGTATACTGGCTGTGTTCCTCCTTCAGTATACTGGCTGGGTTCCTCCTTCAGTATACTGGCTGGGTTCCTCCTTCAGTATACTGGCTGGGTTCCTCCTTCAGTATACTGACTGGGTTCCTCCTTCAGTATACTGACTGGGTTCTTCCTTCAGTATACTGGTTGGGTTATACCTTCAGTATACTCGCTGGGTTCCTCCTTCAGTATACTCATCGGGTTACTCAACATGGCCACGCATGACTTGTAGCAGGAGACACCTGCGGCTGTAGCAGGAGACACCTGCGGCTGTAGCAGGAGACACCTGCGGCTGTAGCAGGAGACACCTGCGGCTGTAGCAGGAGACACCTGCGGCTGTAGCAGGAGACACCTGCGGCTGTAGCAGGAGACACCTGCGGCTGTAGCAGGAGACACCTGAGGCTGTAGCAGGAGACACCTGCGGCTGTAGCAGGAGACACCTGCGGCTGTAGCAGGAGACACCTGCGGCTGTAGCGGGAGACACCTGCGGCTGTAGCAGGAGACACCTGCGGCTGTAGCGGGAGTTACAAGCAGTAAACACAAGCCGCAGCAGGAGAGCTCATTCCTCACATCTGCTCAGTGAGGTCAATGATTGTTAAGGTCAGATCAAATCTTTATAACACTCCTTCATACTTGGCGTGACAAGCCGAGGATATATTGATGTTATAGTCTCTCAAGATCCTCTAAAACAAAATCAAATTTAATAAACATTCAAAGTTTGGATTGCATAACCTAAGATAATCTAGCGCCCAGGTCTATGATAAGATTTAGAACATCTTCTTTCCGATGCAGGCGATGAGTCACAATAACGTGGCTGAAGTATGTTGACCAGACCACACACTAGAAGGTGAAGGGACGACGACGTTTCGGTCCGTCCTGGACTATTCATTCTCAGGTCGATCGTGAGAATGGCTTGAGAATGGCACAATCGACTTGAGAATGGTCCAGGGCTGACCGATACGTCGTCGTTTCGGTCCGTCCTGGACCAAACGCCTTCACCTTCTAGTGTGTGGTCTGGTCAACAACATCTTTCTGATTAAGTTTGAATTAAGCTTCCGGTTAAGCACAGGTTCCTAGAAGTTGTACATCCAAGACCTGTACATCTTTCTTTAAGCATGTCAGCTTAATTTACATTAACGACCGTTTATGAGGTCCGAAACGCTACGAGGTCACACTCGGACACTGTTTACTAAATACAGACTATAACCGAGGAAAGATGTACGGGTCTCGTAAGTGGTCACGATGATGAATCCCAGTCGTAGTATTGTAATTTTACACAGTAAAATAAATCTTGTATGGTTGAGTGTTCAGCAACCAGTACTAGGATGTGTAGCCCAACCTGTCTCTTCCCGTGATGTTGGAGGACACAGTTAAGAGCATATATCTGTTGGGATATCTGTTGGGATATCTGTTGGGATATTTGTCACATTCTTCTTGCGTCCTCTCGTCCTCTCTCCTTGTCTCTCTTGATTCCTCCTTCCACTTTCATTTCCCCCCAAGTCTTTCGTTTATCCGTCTTATTGTCCCCGAATTATCATCGTTCACATTTTCTTACTTTATGTTCTTTTTTTGGACACAGATTCTTAGTCATTAAGAAGGTGGTGGAGGCCAAGACCGTCAGTAGTTTCAAAGCGTTATATGACGAAGAGTGCTGGGAAGACGGGACACCACGAGCGTAGCTCTCATCCTGTAACTACACTTAGGTAATTACTATTATTCCCCCCCCCCCCCCCCAGGGACTCTTATTCTCTTCTTCCTGTCTTACCACACTCTTCATCCCTGCTGCTGCCCCTTTCCCTCAGGCCACGGGCTCACTTCACCCACTTAGGATAGACTGTACTTGAAGCAATGCACGTGGGATTATCCCTGCTGATCCTCCGCTGCTGCCGGAGAGTATTACCTCTGTTCCTTCCCTTACTTCACATTATCCCTGCCGGTGTCTCTCCCATGCCTCGCTCTCACTCTTCTCCCTCTCCCTCACTCCTCTGCCTCGCTCTCACTCTTCTCCCTCTCCCTCACTCCTCTGCCTCGCTCTCACTCTTCTCCCTCTCCCTCACTCCTCTGCCTCGCTCTCACTCTTCTCCCTCTCCCTCACTCCTCTGCCTCGCTCTCACTCTTCTCCCTCTCCCTCACTCCTCTGCCTCGCTCTCACTCTTCTCCCTCTCCCTCACTCCTCTGCCTCGCTCTCACTCTTCTCCCTCTCCCTCACTCCTCTGCCTCGCTCTCACTCTTCTCCCTCTCCCTCACTCCTCTGCCTCTCCCTCACTCCTCTGCCTCTCCCTCACTCCTCTGTCTCTCCCTCACTCCTCTGATAATGTAACCCTTCAGCGCTGGACAATGTACAACTCTCCTGGTTGTCTAGTGAGAGTCACAGACTGTGAGCCTGAGATCCTGTGAGCGTGTAATCTAAGAGCCTGAGATCCTGTGAGCTTGTGATCTAAGAGCCAGAGATCCTGTGAGCTTGTGATCTAAGAGCCTGAGATCCTGTGAGCGTGTGATCTAAGAGCCTGAGATCCTGTGAGCTTGTGATCTAAGAGCCAGAGATCCTGTGAGCTTGTGATCTAAGAGCCTGAGATCCTGTGAGCGTGTGATCTAAGAGCCTGAGATCCTGTGAGCGTGTAATCTAAGAGCCTGAGATCCTGTGAGCGTGTAATCTAAGAGCCTGAGATCCTGTGAGCGTGTAATCTAAGAGCCTGAGATCCTGTGAGCGTGTAATCTAAGAGCCTGAGATCCTGTGAGCTTGTGATCTTAGAGCCTGAGATCCTGTGAGCTTGTGATCTTAGAGCCTGAGATCCTGTGAGCGTGTAATCTAAGAGCCTGAGATCCTGTGAGCGTGTAATCTAAGAGCCTGAGATCCTGTGAGCGTGTAATCTAAGAGCCTGAGATCCTGTGAGCTTGTGAGCTTAGAGCTTGAGATCCTGTGAGCTTGTGATCTTAGAGCCTGAGATCCTGTGAGCTTGAGATAGGAGAGAATGAGCCACCTTGGTAATCCTAAATGTGTAAGGAGGAAATGTTCAAGACGTATCTTGTGAGTCCATTCTTGCACTCACTAGACTCTCCTGTCTGACCACAGTTGACGAAGTAATTCACTAACTAATGATGTATTTCCGTCAGAAAAGAATTACCCATCCAGCGAACTCAACCAGATTTTTTCTTCAAGCACTCACTTACCATCCAAACTCTTCCAGAAGTAATTAATTATCAAAAGAAGGCGCCAAGCCGAACTTTTCCAGAAATATCAACTTGTTAAGAGATAAAACTTTAGAATGAGTGAGGCATATAATGGCGGAAGAGGTCTGAAGGATATAATGTAAACTGTCGCCAGAGAAAGCAAGGAACTGTCGCCAGAGAAAGCAAGGAACTGTCGCCAGAGAAAGCAAGGAACTGTCGCCAGAGAAAGCAAGGAACTGTCGCCAGAGAAAGCAAGGAACTGTCGCCAGAGAAAGCAAGGAACTGTCGCCAGAGAAAGCAAGGAACTGTCGCCAGAGAAAGCAAGGAGATTCTCACTGGATACTTTAGAGTTATAAAGGAACTGCTCTCAATAAGATATGTTTTACTGACAGGCATTTTGGGTCCTACTGAAGCTGTGTGTTTACTAGTTGTGTTTTTGCGGGGGTTGAGCTTTGCTCTTTCGGCCCGCCTCTCAACTGTCAATCAACTGTTGGATATCTGTTGTATATCTATATACAACTGTGTTATATCAGTAGTGTGATTTGAGTGATTTTGATCCGGGATAACCACCCCAGATTCTGCTGATGTAGAATGTTGTGAATGTGTGCAAATTTATATAACCGTGATGTGATTAGTTGATATTAGTTCGTTTTCAAATTGATAAAGACGGTATATGGCTCCGCAAATCAACAACCCTGTTACCGAACCAGTATTTATCCAGGTCTTTCCTATATCTAACAAATTCCCTAGAATGGGAAGCGGTTAATGGGATTTACGAAGGTGACCAATACAAAAAGGAATACAGACAATACAGTAAACATCTTCCAGAATTAACTAAAGCAAAATGTTAAGACCAGATCTAAGACCAAGCGTTATGTCTGACATATAAATGCAGTTAAAGCCAAACTCGGGAACAAGAAGAGAGGCTTCGGCAATGTTAGTAAAGGAGAAAATTGTAAACACTGCACACCACCTACATGAGACTAGCCCTAGAGTGTGCATTCCCAATATGGGGTATAATAAGTACATAATAAAAGTTGAAAAGATGCAGAAAAGGTCAGATGCAAGGAAAAGATGCAACGAGAGGTCAGAGATGCAATATGTGATGGGTTGAGAATTCATGTTGAAATACGCACGCCAGCCCAAGCACGCACACACAGGTGAATACACGCACACGCACACACAAGTGAACACACATACACGCACACACCACTGACACCACCATAGTTAAATAACACCTAAAAATGAGGACCATATGTTTCCCCCACACTTAACTCATGTTGACTCATAACTCA